GAAGACCCAGGACACGCTGGAGGGACTATGTCTCTCGGCTGGCCTGGGAACGCCTTGGCATTCCCCCGGAGGAGCTGGAGGAAGTGTCTGGAGAGAGAGAGGTCTGGGCATCTTTGCTTAGACTGCTGCCCCCGCGACCCGGTCCCGGATAAGCGGAAGAAAATGGATGGATGGATGGATGGATCAAAGCTTCCGAAAGCAATACTTCTCCCATTACTAGTTTAATACTTTCAGATATATTAAGCACAACTTGATGGTCAGGGCAAGCATATTGAAGCTTTAAGCTTTCTTTCTATTTTTGCTAAAAGATTCAAAGTTTGGGGCTTTACTTCACACAAAGCAAATGCAGTCATTTATAAAACTTACAATAGAATGGGCTGAACATTTATTTTAACTTGTCTCATATATGGTAATGAAAGTCCAGTTTTCATCCACTATCTATACCACTTATCCTAATGAGGGTCATGGAGCCAATCCCAGCTGGCACTGGATGAGAAGCAGGGTACACCCAGGACAGGTTGCCAGTCTATCACAGGGCTGACACTTAGAGACAACCACACACACACTCACTCCTACAGACAATTTAGAGTCACGAATCAACCTAAGCTGCATGTCTTTGGACTGTGGGAGGAAGCTGGAGAGAACCCACATAGGCACAGGGAGAACATGCAAACTCCACATTGAAGGGCACCATGTCAGCCAGGGCTCGAACCCGAAACCTTTTTGCTGTAAGGTGACAGCGCTAATACTGCACCACCACGCCACCCAGTTTTAATTAAATTTCTAATTTTGACCAGAAATGCTGCATTAAAGTAGACATTACTGTGCAGTTAGTTCAAGTAAAAACATTGTAAAAGGTTTTCCAAAAAGCCTAGATAAAATAGTTTTGTTCCCACTGAATATAAAGTGATAGAATGGCATTCACTACATTATGCCATTACTTTTATAACATAATTACTTTGTACCAGGTAGAGGCATTCTCATACTCAAGTCTTTCTAATGTACATCATCATATTTCTAAATGATTCAGTTTAGCACTTCAGTATGTAAGCCAAAATTATTTTATTAGCTTTGTTTAGCGTCCAATAAAACCTATTAAAATAGCCAAGTGAATCCAGCATTTGATGATCTTTTTGAATCACTACAGATAATCTTCTTTAACCTATAACTGTGCTAATGCTGCTTAGTATGAGCAACAAAAGCCAAAACTTTCTATGCCAGTGTTGGACATTTACCAAATATAAATGTTTTAATCATAAGTAGCGGAGGATGTGAATATCAATACAGAAAACAGACAACATAAATAATACTACTATACTGATTTTCAAACATTTATATTTTGTCAAGTCAAGTCATTCTATAAAGAAATTTAGCAAGTTTCTCCACTTCAGTAACACATGCACACAAAATACAGGCAGCAGAATAAAAGTGCCAGTGTTTCTGAATCATCATCAACTCACTGACAGAACCAGCTAGCATACTGTCTGCGCGCACGCACACACACACACACACACACACACACACACACACAGAGAGAGAGAGAGGGGAAATGTGATGTAGTGTCCTTCAGTATTGTACAATATACATTTGTGTGTGCAACTAGGTTTTCTCCTCTCAGCTCAGACTTTGATATAAATGGGGGCAGGATAGACAGAGTAGCATTAAAACCTGATCCAATGCTGCTGGAAACAAAAAAATAACAAAACAGCCCTGCAATTAGTACCACGAATGTGATGCTTCTAATGGAAAAAGTCAAAGTATAAGCTTCATAAAAGCGGTATTTATTGCAGGGTCAGTGTACTGGATGTGTTAGATCACATGGGTGTGCATGATGCCATCAATTTCCTCAAAATTGTATACATTATACATTTTCTGAGTGAGACATATTTACAGTGAGATCAACAGGGTTAAGATGAGAGACAACTATAACAACACATAAAAGCATAGACAAGGTGGGCTTTGAAAGCATTAAAAAAAATCAGTGGGTGGCCCAGATCATGGGCAGAAGGTAGCTGGGGGGAGGGATCAGGCAGAGGAATGCAGCGCTCCTGACTCCCTGTCATCCCTCTCTTCCTCATCCATTTTGCGTCCATGTTTCCGGAAGTATTTGTAGCGTTGGACATACAACTTTACGAGGTTGCTGACTTTGACTGGGTTGATTTCTCCAGTGCGGCTGTGGCAGATCTGAGACAATGACACAGTGTGATTATATAGCCCATATCAACTCAATGACATGAGTTAACATTTTGTTCCTGTGGTTTCATTCCAGGAATAGATACTGTGCTAGTAGTGCAATGGGACACAGTACAAAAAAAGTCCCAATTTATACACTTTATGTTTTCAGAAAGTGAGAAAGTACCACTTCACTCTTTGCACAAAGTGTGCAAAAAGTGAAAATCTACACACTTGAAGTGTGACATATTTCTGTGACATAAGATCGCACTATGTCACACTTGAAATATACACACTGTGTGTAGATTTCATTTGAAATTGATAAAATTGCCATTTTTGATAACCCATAATGACAAAGAGAAAATGTTTTTAGAACTGTTTGTATGTTAAAAATCATTTAATATGTTCATGAGAAAAAATGCTTTGTTTTACTCTTTTTTTACCATTTAAAAATAAGGGGATGCAAGGAGACCGGCTTAACTCAGTGCTTGTGAACTGGTTATGTGTGCAGAGACTGACCTTATGCACAGCTTTCCTTAGGATGTCTTTGTATTCATCCTTGTTGATGTCCTTGCGCTGATAGTAAGGTTTGATGGCGAGCTTCACCTCCTCCACTGCCCGCTCCTGAGTGTGCAGCTTCTTCAGGTACTGGAATAAAATTTTAAAAAAGACATTAATGATTCAACATTTTTTTTTAAATCTGTGTAGAGCTTTGCTAAATAGTTCAAGTGCTACAAAAGATAAAAAAAGACTAAAAACTACCATCATGGCTCGACAGCATTTTGCTTGCATATGTGAACGAAAATGAGTGTGTACAATGCTAAAAACTGCACCGGTATAACTGACAATATTTTAGTGCATAGTTCTGGTCAGACCTACAGAGTGCTGTTACAGAAAGATCCAATGAATGAAGAAAAAGAAAGTCTCACTGTTGTATTTACTGCTGTATTGTCCAGGTTAATCTACAGCTGTAAAAGCAGTCAGAATTGAATATAAAAATACAATAGAGCACAACCTGAACAGTAAATGAACAGCAGTATTACTACTTACTTAGTCAGTACTGAACAGCAGCAAATAGCAGCTTCTTCACAAAATGCACACATAAACCACCAAAGTATGTTACTGAATGGTGTAAACAACAACTGCACCATAACAAAATTAGCTTCATACAATTCATGTGCAGGTGTTTCTATTTCATGTATTCTTCTACAACTCATCACAGTTAATTTTACCTGTTTACTACATGATTCTTGTGAAGTGTGCAAAGAACCGTATGTGAGGATGCACTTCCAGACAGGTTTTGGTAGGTCAGTCAAAGTCAAAAGCATGATACTCATATTATTTATTAATAAAACACACATCCATCCATAGTTCTGTCACCCTTACTAGCAAAGCTCAATGAACACAGCATTCAGGCAGCAGTTTTTCATTTTGAACAGGTCATCATCTTGCTGTTTAAAGTAAAAATGCCAGTTATCACTCACTAACTTTAAATCCATGAATAAATGTTGATAGTGGATTCACAGTGGATAAGACATGATCAAACTCTAACACTATTTACAAAAGCCCAAGATGGTAGGTGAGTAACCTCTGTGCTGTTTAAAAAAAGATTCATGCAGCACAGTGCAACTTGTGATGTCCCAAGTACAAGATACGTTTCAGATTTCTTTAGTAATTTCCTAGGCGGGTCAGTTTGCCCCTCAGCATTATGTAAACTATGTTTCATGTTAAATATTTACTGCGATGCATTGTTATTTTTTATTTTTTTTAAGTGTGACCCTTAAAATTTTATCTGTGCCCCTAAATTAAATATATAGAGGCACAGAGGTCCTCTGTGCTTTTATTTTAAAACAGGCTTATAGACAGCCCTTTAGTCCTGATTTCAACTATTCCTCAAATAATGCAAACTCAGCACTTCCATAAAGTATGCATAATGCTCAATTCCACAGAACTGGTTCTATCCCCGTGCTGCTCTAAGTTCACTCCAAAATACTGTCCATTTGCTAACATTATTCAGGCAAGTAACAAGTTAATATTGTAGAGTGAAATGATCTTGGCTGAGGTAGGTAACAATACTGGCTCCTTCAGAAACAACACTGCAATAGTGGGATTTACTACACAAATGACACTGATCATGAACTTCAACCGTACCTTGTCAGGGTCTTTGCTCTCATTGTCCCATCCTGTGTCACCAGAGCTCCCAGTCATTCCCGACAAGCCCACGGGCATGATAGGGGGTGGTGTCTGTGCACAACCACCACCCATGGAGGAGTGCAGGTGAGATGGTGGAGTTTTGGTGCAGCCAACTAATGGAAGGGAGCTGTGCAGGATGAACTGGGCTGGGCTCAGACCAGGAGGTGGAGGCAGAGAGGGAGGTGGTGGGATCTGTGAGGAGGTGGAGGAGGCTGAAGACGGAGGAGCGTGTTGCTGGGACTGGCTTTGGTTGGCTTGTGAGAGGATCTGCATGAGACATGAGTAATGGCACAGTCAGAGTGAATTTCACACCTCAATCATTTCTTTGTGGAACACAAGCAAGACACATTCAATTCTAATCAAACAAAATTGCCTCCTCCCATCTTGAGGCCGTCCCATCTTTGTCACTCTCACCTGGCTTGTTGCTTGAATGAACTCTTGTGCTTTGGCTCTGCTAGCAATATTGGCCTCCTCCATTTTGAAGAGCAGAGCGGTCACTGAGAGGAAAAGTGACCGAGACCATTATTTCATGAAAAAAAGACACGAACATCTATAGGTTTATACATTACCTGATAAGGATAACATACAGTCATGGCCCAAAATATTGGCACCCCTGTGTTTCTGTCAGATAACGCACCATTTCGCTCAGAAAATTGGTATTCTCATGTTTTGTTTGCATTGGAACAACACGATGCAAAAGCAAGGAAAAAAAAGAAGCCAAATCTGATACATTCCACATAAAACTCCAAAAATAGACTGGACAGAATTATTGACACCTTTTCAAAATCATCAGAAGTAGTTGTATTTCAAGCATGTGACACTCCAAAATACCACCTACAAAATGCAAGATAACGAGGTGCTGACTATGATTGAGTTACTGTGACAAGCAAGGCTGAAATCTCATGGCTCTGAATGTTGTTTTAATATGACAAAGAAACTGACTGTAAGTAGCAGAAATCCGTCAAATGGTTAGACTGAATACATCTCTGTTAGGTGGGAATGTTTCATAGTAACATAGTAGACTTCTGTACACCTATGGAGCAAACTCACATGCTAGGACTCCTCCAGTTGTGCAGTCCACCCCAGTCTGCAGACTCCAGGGGAGGGCGGGTGCTGCTGGAGGAGGAGGAGGAGGCGGCGGCGGCTTACTAGCAGATGAAGAGGACACAGAAGAGGAGGAAGAGGGGTCTGATGAAGACATGGGCAGAGAAAGTGAAGTGAGACCACAGGATGCTGAAGAGGATGAGCAAGGAGGTGAGGCCAGAGACTTGGGTGTATCATCTGTTGGGGGGAGCTTGGCAGTGGGTGTAGACAAAGTGATGCTGAGGCCAGCTCCCTGGGGGGTGGACTGGCTGGATGGGCTGGACGTTGGGAGTGTTGGGCTGGTCTGAGTTGGACAGTCCTCAGCTAGGAAAGAAGGGTCTGGAGTCTTACAGCTGCTGTCCACAGTCTGAGAGTCTGGTGAAGACTCCCTGGTGTCCCGCAAAGGAGCCATGGAGGGTGGAGACGTATGTGGTGGCGAGGAGGAAGGAGGTGGCACACTAGTGGTGGAGGAAGAGGAGGAAGAAGAGGAAGAACTGGGTGCAGGGCCAGCTTGGCCAGTATGTGGACTGACAGACTTGCTTCCATCTCCAACAGCTGACTGAACATCTAAGGAGGCTCCACCCCAGCCCTCTGATGTGGCTTTTGTTTGGCTGCCATCTCCAGCTGTTAACGCTGCAGCTCCACCTTTTTCTCTTGTTTTCTTTGCCAGGCGCCGGCGGCGTTTTGTTGCCAGAGATGATGAGGAGGAGGAGGCAGAGGAGGAGGTGGAAGTGATAGAGCTGGGTTTTGTTTTCTTTGATTTCAGTCCTGCAGGACTGGTTAAGGAGGATGTTGGTGCAGCCAGGCTGCTTCGCTTTCCCATACTGGCTAGATCTTTACTGCGGCCGCCCAGTGATAGTGGCTCTGAGCAAGGTTTGAGGAATGGCGACCTGCTCTCATTGTCCCTGCAGAAGACTACTGCAATTGAACCACCCACCACAGAGCCACCAGCACTACCTCCTGTACCTCCTGGCCCTAGAAGGTCCATGCCCAGCTTTCCAGAACCAATTGAAGCCCCTGTGGTGCTGCTCACACCCTCACGCACCAGCACAGACACTTTGGACTGAAGCTTGCCTTTCCGACTACTGCTGCTCTCTTTCTTAGATTTGCTGGAGCGGGCCAAATCCTTTCTGCTGACTTTGTCCCGCTCTTTGTCCTTTCCCATTTTTCTGGTTCGCTTCACTGATGGGAGACCAGATGAGATGGAGGCAGACCCTGATGTGACTGTCAGTGAGGAGAGGCATTTGCCTTTGGTTCTGTTGGAAGAGGAGGATTCTGACTGGCCAATTTTCTTCGATGTGCGAGATTTCTTTTTTGGATGATGCCGTCCAGTCTTGGGGGTAGTCTTAGTTTTGGGGCTGGGGACAGGTGGTTCTCGAGGCAGAACAGCAGGAGGTGTATCTTCCAAAGATGGGTAGTCTGAATCCAAAGCCTCCCCATCCAAAGACGACACATCAATCTCCATTTTGTCTGAATAGCGGTCTGACTCGTAGCTGTGATACCTGGGTGGTGAGAGTGACTGTGATCGGCTGTGACAACTTCCCCTGTCTGCCACCTCTGCAGCTGAGCGCCATTTTCTCTTCTTCTTCCTTTTGTAGGGCTTGTCAGAGTCCTGAGGGGGCCGACAAGGAGAAGGTGGGGTGATTCTTGGGGAGCCGGGTACAGTGGTGGTCGTTGTGGTGGTGGTGACTGTGATAGTTCGCTTAATGGCAAAGAGGTCAGAACCGTTGAGGTCTTGGATAGATGGCGGGACAACAGGCCGACCATCCCGCCGCCGATCCCTCTCACGCTGCCTGTCTCTATCTCCTTCCCTCTTTTCCCTGCTTCTTTTGGACCTCATTGAAATGCCACGCTCTCTGCTGCTTGAATGTCGTCTTCCCTTTCTTTCCCTCTCCTTCCTAGAGCTAGAATCTTGATCTCTGTCATCTCTTCTGTGGCTACTGGTGCGATTTTGTTCACTCTCTCTATCCCTGTCTCTCTCTCTCCCTCTTTCTCTATCCCTCTCTCTGTCTCTAATTCTATCCCTTTCTCTGTCTCCTTCCCTCTCCTTGTGTCTTTCTTCAGATATGTTTGAAAAAGAGCGTCTAGTGTGGCCCCCTCTTCCTGAAGAGTTGTATGAACGTGAGGCCTCTGGGCTGCTGTGTCGTCTTTTCTTCCTCTTTCGGCTACTGCTTCTGCTGCTCGTCCTTCCTTTAACTTCCTTCCCAGTCTTGTGCCCTCGCTCTTTGTCTTTGCTCCTCTCTCGAACTCCTTCTTTGTCCTTCTTTCTCTTCTTTCGTCTCTCTTCCTTCCTATCCTTGCTTTTCTGTCGGTCACGGTCCTTGGAACTCTTGGAAGACCTGTGGCTCTTGCTGGCCTGCTCTACAGTAGGTGAGAGAGGGGAGGAGGGATTAGATGGCGAAGGATGGGAGGGAGGAGGTGGTGGCTGAGGAGAGAGGGGGGAAGTCACAGGTAATGAGAGATATCTTTCCTTCCGCCTGCTGACCAGCTTCCTTCTCAAATCCTCTACACCTACCACAGGCTCATCCTCAGGCTGCCTGTCCACCTCCCAGTTGCCCTCTGCACACACAGACACAAAGCCATCTCCATCCAGCACACGGAGGATGCGCTCTGGCTTTGAACTAAAGAAAGAGACGCTGGGAGAATTCAAAGGGAGGATTTCTCCAGCTGATCGCTTATTGTTTCCATCTTTGTCAGCAGCCCCAACTATCTCCCCCTCCTCTATTTCAGAGTGATCAGAGTCAGGACTCTCCCTCTGCCCTACAGCTTTGGTGGTGCTACAGTCCACTCTCCTCCTCAGAGGGAGCTGTCTGGCCACACAGGGGGTTGGCAGATCAGTCAAGGTGTCAGTGGAATCTGGAGGTGCTTCCTCTTTCACTTCCTCATCTCTGCTCTCAAGTTTTCTCTTCACCCCCCTCACTTGGCCACTCCCATCATTGGTGTCTGATGCTGGGGAGCCAGTGGGGTCAAAGGGGTCATATTTCTCCCCTTCCTCCTCCTCCTCCTCTTCTTCTTCTTTCACCCTTCCCTCCTTGTCTCCCTCAGTTGGATGGAAAGGATCATACATCTCTCTCCTCCTACCTTCTTCTTTACGATCAACACTTGGCTGCAATGAGGTGTGAGGGAAGGAATCCGGGGAAGTGGTGTTGGGTGTAGGTGTGGCGAAAGACTGTGTTGCTAGAGAGACAGAAGTGGAGGACACCCTGGCCACCTCTGTCCCTTGGGTGTAATCCTTTACATGGTTCTGATAAACTGACAAGTTGGCACATACAGAAGAGGATGTAGACAAAGGTGACGATGGATCCGATGAAGGAGAAGACAGAGACAAGGGAGACGAGTAGGTAGGAGGGCTCTGACCAATTTCTCTAATTCCACTTGGGGGCGAGGAGGCAGCAGGCCTCCTTTTGAAGCCTGATGCTGGAGTCAAGTCCATGAGACAGGAAAACAGGTAGTACAGAAGTCAGCAGGATTTGGAGGTTGGTAGTGATGCACAAGGCCACACCGGACAAACAGAATCCAAGAATAAACCTAGTAGAAATGACAGGAGACATTTATCTTACAATGTAAATCTGGAACTGTTGAGACCAGAGGCACAAGTGGGCTGTGTTATCATGTCAGCACTTCAGGAATGTGATTTTACCGGTTCACTTGGATCAATTACAATTTATTATATACAGTAGTGAATCAAATTTCGTCATCATTTTGTCAGAGCACCCAGCTAGCTACAAAATAGGTCACCCATATTCAATACAGCAAGAGCTGCAATGAACAACTATTTTAATAATCTATTAATTTGTTGATTTTATCAATTTGATTATTATAAAATTAACATGAAAAAACAAAAACATTTTAAAATTTAACTTAAAAATTAAAGAATAATTCTGTCAACAACTCCTTTGCATTAGATATTCAAACTGTATTACTGAGTCAATACAACAATACTTGTACTGTGCTCTATGTGTGTGAACATGTAAATGCAGTATACTGCCTTGTGTGCACATGGACACAACCACATAACCTAGCATGACATACTGTATTTTATATAATTCTGGTTTATTTAGGTCTCCTACTTTTAGAATGATAGAATTCTTAAATAACAATGTCCTTGATTCTCTTTATACCAGTGGTTGAATGTAGGACCTTTCAAGCACTGCACCATTATAAAAATGATGATTTCTGCAAGTTATTTTGAGGACAGTTAAACAGGTTTGAATTTTTAGCACATTACAAAAATAGCATCTGGTTAGAATTGTACATATGTCTAGGATGTCTGGTCATCAACCACTTCACAGAAAAAACAAGCACTGCACTCAGTGTGAACCTAATGTATTTCCAACACATTAACGTTTCTAAATTTGTTGAGTAACTTGCGATTTCTACAATCTCAAATGAGAAAAAGTTGAGACACTATATAAAAACTGAAAATAATGGTATTTATATCATTTGCTCCCTGTATTACATTGAAAACACTAAAGCAGCATATTATTTGATGTGACACCTCATCTATTTTATTCTTTGTTTAAAATAAACACTTAAATTCTGATGTCCGCAAATCATTCAAAACAAACAAAAAAGTTGAAACTGCTGCATTTCAGGGCCAGTAATGAGGTAAAACAATAAAATGATGATTCCATTTGAAACAGGGGATGTGAACAGGTGATTACAATCATGATTTGGCACAAAAGTGGAATCCAGGAAAGGTCTAGCCCTTTAGGAGCAAAGATGGGCCGAGGATCGCCAGTTTTCCAACATACTGTATGTGTGAGAAAATGACTGAAATGTTTAAAAACAATGTTCCTCAAAGAAAGATAGAGAGGGATTTGGATATGTCACCCTCTATGGTGCTTAACATTATTAAAACATTCAAGGAAACTAGAGGGATTTCAGTGTGTAATGGGAAAGGGCGCAAGCCTAAGCCTAACTGTGCTCTCTGATCCCTCAGACAGCACTGCATCAACGATCGTCATTCTTCTATAAGCGATATAACCACATGGGCTCAGGATTACTTTGGCACACCTGTGTCAGACACTACAGTACGTAGTTACATCCATAAACACAGCTTAAAACTGTACTGTGCCAAAAGGAAGCCCTATGCCAACAGTGTCTAGAGGCAGTGGACTGCTCTGGGCTTGGAGGCATCTGGGATGGACTATCACACAGTGGAAACATGTACTGTGGTCAGGTGAATCAGTATTTCAGGTCTTTTTTGGAAAGAATGGGCACCGTGTTCTCTGGACTAAGGACAAAAAGGACCATCCAGACTGTTACCAGCAACAAGTCCAAAAGCCAGGGTCTGTCATGGTCTGGGGTTGTGTCAGTGCCCTTGGCAAAGGTCATTTACACTTCTGTGATGGCACAATTATGGCTGAAAAATGCATAGAGACTGTGGAGCAACATGTGCTGCCTTCAAGATGTTATCTTTTCCAGGGACACCCATGCATATTTCAACAAGACAATGCAACACCTCATATTGTGCATTATCAAGGCCTGGCTGTGGAGGAAAAGGGTGTGAGTGCTGGACCGGCCTGCCTGCAGCCCCAACCTGTCCCCAGTAGAGAATGTGTGATGCGTTTTAAAATGCAAATTGAGTCAACAAAGACCCACCTTGAGACTTGTTTGCAGGATGAATGGGACAAAATTGCACCTTACACACTTAATCACTTGGTGTCCTCAGGCCCTAAGTGTCTTTTAAGTGTTGTGAAAAGGAACTACATCACACCATGGTAAATTCTTTACTGTCCCAGCTTTTTTTGGAATGTGTTGCAGGAATCAGAATTGAAGTGAGTGTTTACTTTGAACAAAGAATAAAATTGATGAGGTGTCACATCAAATAATGTGCTGCTGTATTGTTTTCAATGCAATACAGGACACAGATGATTTACACATCACTATTTTCAGTTTTAATTTTACACACTATCCCAACTTTTTCTGATTTGGGGTTGTACTAGTTTCTTAGATTTCTTCACTATGTGTGAAGTAATTGTTGCGGACTCATCACATGTTCACCTTGTATACTTAACACTTAATCTTCTTTTCAGTCTGATATATTAAATGCTTCCAAACTTTAGACGACTTCAATCATCCACATTTCTCTGCTGTACCATGCTCACTATCCTTTGCTTCCACCATTTTTCAAAACTTCCAACTAACTTGACAGTTAAGCTTGTTGCCAACTATGTTTATCCTATATTCAATTTTAAAGATTAGTTGCTGCACAGACACAAACACGCTATCTTAAGGATGCCCATGCAATGATGTTGTCAGTGACAGTGACTGCACCCAGTTCCACTTATGCATCTTTCCTTTTCATCCTACTCAGTAGAACAGGTAGCAGTTGAGGAGTATTCTGTTTGTCCAGAATAATCAGGGGTGGCCAATTCCAGTCCTTGAGGGCCGCTGTCCTGCTTGTTTTCCAACTATCCCTGCCTGACCTGCTGCTAATTACCTGGCTCAGGTGTGTTCAGCCAGTCAGAAGCTGGAAGCTACCAATTATCTGGTCCAGATCACCCACCAACCAATACATTAGCCTGACTAATGCTATCTGCCTTGATTGTTGAACCAAATTTATATCAGGAATGCAGTATTCATCATCTGATAAGTAAAATAAACTAGCAAATGTCAGTAAAATATACTGCTCAATACATATGGCTACCTATAAAATGTGTGGCTTATGCTGTTTATTTTGATGAGAAATACACTTAAGGTGATTAATCTTTAGCTGAAATTTAAACTGCCAAATGCCAATATGAAAAGGTTTTCCTTATAAAAAGGGGAAGGCAATACATAATTGACTACCAAATAACAGGATGTGGGAGCCTGTGTCATCTCTGGAAGAAAGGTGGACAGTGAACGTCTGAGAAGGCAGTGTCTGACTCATGCTAGTCAGGGTGCTGTGTATCAGGTATAATTGTGCTAATCATATTATGCACATTAGCAACTGTGTGTATATATATATATATACACATATACATATACATACACACACATATCAGCTGATATGAGCAGGGCACAGTGTATGCAGCCTGCTACTTGTTAGTGTACTGACATACTGTATGTATGGACCTTGCAGCAGCCTTTTGTTAATCTCTTGACAGTAACTTGTATTAATTTCTTTTGAGCGTTTCAAAAACGCCCTTTTCAATGTCCCGTCTCTGCATCTACGTGTTATCCGAGCCTAGTTGATGGAAAATTAAAAATCGTTTTGTTTTTATGCCAGAGATTGTTCCTCTAACTGCTATCTTAGGCAAGGTTAACCTTAATGTTGAACCTTTCACGTTAACGTTAAACATCGTCGTAGCTAACAGTGCGTACGTTGTATTATTCGTAATCCGGTTTGCTACGGTTAGTATATTTCACCAGATTTATTAAGAGATGTGCACACCCTCTATAGGGGTATGTCCACAGTAGGTAACGTAATCAGCTAGCTCGTTCAGTAAATTAGCTTTCAGTAGCTAGCCAGCTAAACACAGCAACTGGAGCTATATACTGATGAGTTACCTTCAGTGCGATAAAATGCAGTCTCGTGTCGAAGCCTCCGTCTTATATTTACTACCACCTCTTTTTAAAATACGAAATGAACTGGTTTTATTCCTTTTAAAAGCACTACAACGATCTCGTTTCATCAATCGTCGCCATCTTCCTTCTCTTCAAACCGGACAAAAAAGAATCGTGGGAAATGTAGTCCTTGGTGTTCCGTGTATTTCAACATTAAAGAGCCCATGGCATGCTTTTCCTTGTTTTCTGACTTATCTACAATGTTATAACGGTGAATTATCATCTTATACATGACCTAAAGCTAAAAAAAAATGACGTGTATATATGTTCTAGTAATTTATATGCAGAAGCAACTCAGATTATACAAGTCTCGCAAAATCTCGCGATACCCTTTTCCAACAAAATGAACTATTGTGTGATAGTTTAGGATTTCCTTGAATGGGCATGAAATCCAGGTTGTTGCCCATTCATCCAAGTTTCCCTGACATCCAAGCTGCCATTGTAAAAGCGGAATTTTTCGTCTGCGCTTGGTTTTGTGGACATATTTTCCCTCCTGCTGCCTGCACTGTGACCAGACGATGTAGAGAAAAATACAGGGCCTGAGGTTACTGCATGTCTGGGAATTTTCCTGTACAGGGACCCACTGTTCTACCTGACTGAGTCTAACCTAGAAGCAGCCGGCCTGTGAAGCATCCTGGGTGTAAGATTTGATTCTCATAGGTTCTAGTTTCCTTTAGTTACTTTTCAGCTTTTCACAATTTTAATACAAGCATACTTCTTAGCATCACACACACAGGGGGGCCTGCAGCCCAGACCACCCATTGTTCACTGTTCATTGATCAAGATCAAGCTGCCACCAGAGAAACACACACACACACTAACACACACCTGGTTTAGATCACATTTCAGCAAGCTGGCGCAGGCAGTGGTTGACCTACTCACACCAAATGACCAATAGGATTACAAAGTGTTGAATGTTGTACCTATGTCCAGGGTGGGCCTAGCCCAAGGAGATAAATTCAATGAAAACATGTAACTCAGGGTTCAGAGAACAGAATTCCTGCGGGAGCTCTGTCTCTCTGATCCCAGCGCTGTATTGCTTCACCTGTGCCCAGACTTTGAGTAAACGCCTTGTTGATTTTAAACAGCCCTCTCCTGTCTTCACTTCTCACACTTCCAACAAAAGAATTGTGTTATTTCTAACATGGGGCAATGAATGGTCAGCTCATCAATGCTGGATTCTCCCAGAGCACAGTAGTTGTTTGTTTGGACTGTTTGAAGCCAGTGTGACTGCATGTGATGTAGTGCAGGTTAATGAGAGGATTAACTACCCATGATGTTACTGTCAGTGCAATGCTACCTGTTGGAATGAATTTTACTACTTTGGGATTGTATATGGTTGTCTGGGTGAAGACAACAACCGCCGCATGGATTTATCGACATTGGAGCTACTTGAAAGGAAGTGATGTTTCCACTATTCAGTGGGACTTAATGGTAAGTTAAAAAAAACAACAACACTTTGCAATTCTGCTAATGTGTTTCTGTATAGAATTGTTGTAAGGCTGGAGAAGTTACTATGTCTGCATTATGCCAGTTAAAATATGGGGTTTCTCAGTTACTTGCTTTGTTTATAATGTTGCACATCTCTTTTCATCGGTTCATATAACATTGTCTACCTATCTATGGAGGAGAAATTCAACTTAATTCATGCTGGAAACAAGAGTTGTGCACGTTCATGAACTACAGTATCCTCTCATTTTTAGGAAGAGGCTCTTGGGTTTTATCATTATGAAATAATTACAGACCATTTGTAATTATGATGGGTACAAAACTAATCTAGAGGTACCCAAGATTAAATATTAAATGGCTGGAATTGAGCATGTCACGGTCTCTTTAACAATTTCAACATTAGCAATATTTATATAAATATTACACTGTTCATTCAACAAAAATGTTTTTCCCCAAGATATATCATTTGATTTAAAAATTCAAAACAAATATAAAGCCACTTAGCATAATATACAGTATATAAGCTTGATCAAGTAACAAGTTACTTCAAATGAAAGTGACAAAATAAATGATACATTTTCTGTACTGGTCTTTTTTTTGATAATAAAATACAGTGCATCCATTAAGTATTCACAGTGATTAACCTTTTCCATATTTTGTTATGTTAGTCTTATTCCAAAATAGATTAATTCATTATTGTCCTCAAAATTCTACAAACAATACCCCATAATGACATGAAAAAGGTTTGAAATTTTTGCAAATTTATAAATAAAATAAATCACATGTACATAAGTATTCACAGCCTTTGCTCAATACTTTAAGCATCTTTAGCACCAATTACAGCCTCAAGTCTTTTTGAGTATGATGCTACAAGCGTGGCACACCTATTTTTGGGTAGTTTCTCCCATTCTTCTTTGCAGTACCTCTCAAGCTCCATCAGGTGGGATAGGGAGCGTCGGTGCACGGCCATTTTTAGATCTCTCCAGAGATGTTCAATCGGGTTCAAGTCTGAGCTCTGGCTGGGCCACTCAAAGACATTCACAGAGTTGTCCTGTAGCCACTCTTTTGTGGGTCGTTTTCCTGTTGAAAGGTGGACCGTCGCCCCAGTCTGAGGTCCAGAGCGTTGTCCTGTTGAAAGATGAATTGTTGTCCCAGAGCGATCTAAAACAGGTTTTCATCAAGGATGTCTCTGTTTGTACATTGCTGCAGTTATCTTTCCCTCGATTTGGACTAGTCTCCCAGTTCCTGCTGCTGAAAAACATCCCCACAGCATGATGCTGCCGCCACCATGCTTTACTGTAGGGATGGTGTTGACCAGGTGGTGAGCGGTGCCTGGTTTCCTCCAGAAATGACGCTGTGGCATTCAAGCCAAAGAGTTCAATCTTTGTTTTATCAGACCAGAGAAGTTTTGTTTCTCATGGTCTGAGAGTCCTTCTGGTGCCTTTTGGCAAACTCCAGGCGGGCTGCCATGTGCCTTTTACAGAGGAGTGGTTTCTGTCTGGCCACTCTACCATACAGGCCTGATTGGTGGAGTGCTGCAGAGATGGTTGTTCTTATGGAAGGTTCTCCTCTCTTTACAGAGAAATGCCGGAGCTCTTTCAGAGTGACCATTGGGTTCTTGATTACCTCCCTGACTAAGACCCTTCTCTCTCGACCGCTCAGTTTGGCCGAGTGGCCCACTCTAGGAAGGAGTCCTGGTGGTTCCAAACATCTTCCATTTACTGATGATGGAGGCCACTGTGCTCATTGGGACCTTCAATGCTGCAGAAATTTTTCTATACCCTTTCCCAGGTCTGTGCCTTGATACAATCCTGTCTCTGAGATTTACAGACAATTCCTTAGACTTCATGGCTTGGTTTGTGCTCTGACATGCACTGTTAACTGTGGGACCTTATATAGACAGGTGTATGCCTTTTCAAATAATTTCCCACAGGTGGACTCCAATCAAGTTGTAGAAACATCAAGGATGATCAGTGGAAACAGGAGGCACCAGAGCTCAATTTTGAGTGTCATGGCAAAGGCTGTGAATACTTATGTACAGTGCCTTGCGAAAGTATTCGGCCCCCTTGAACTTTGCGACCTTTTGCCACATTTCAGGCTTCAAACATAAAGATATAAAACTGTAATTTTTTGCGAAGAATCAACAACAAGTGGGACACAATCATGAAGTGGAACAAAATTTATTGGATATTTCAAACTTTTTTAACAAATAAAAAACTGAAAAATTGGGCGTGCAAAATTATTCAGCCCCCTTAAGTTAATACTTGGTAGCGCCACCTTTTGCTGCGATTACAGCTGTAAGTCACTTGGGGTATGTCTCTATCAGTTTTGCACATCGAGAGACTGAAATTTTTGCCCATGCCTCCTTGCAAAACAGCTCGAGCTCAGTGAGGTTGGATGGAGAGCATTTGTGAACAGCAGTTTTCAGTTCTTTCCACAGATTCTCGAGTGGATTCAGGTCTGGACTTTGACTTGGCCATTCTAACACCTGGATATGTTTATTTGTGAACCATTCCATTGTAGATTTTGCTTTATGTTTTGGATCATTGTCTTGTTGGAAGACAAATCTCCATCCCAGTCTCAGGTCTTTTGCAGACTCCATCAGGTTTCCTTCCAGAATGGTCCTGTATTTGGCTCCATCCATCTTCCCATCAATTTTAACCATCTTCCCTGTCCCTGCTGAAGAAAAGCAGGCCCAAACCAGGATGCTGCCACCACCATGTTTGACAATGGGGATGGTGTGTTCAGGGTGATGAGCTGTGTTGCTTTTACGCCAAACATAACGTTTTGCATTGTTGCCAAAAAGTTCGATTTTGGTTTCATCTGACCAGAGCACCTTCTTCCACATGTTTGGTGTGTCTCCCAGGTGGCTTGTGGCAAACTTTAAACGACACTTTTTATGGATATCTTAAGTGGCCCACTGTAGGAAGAGTCCTGGTGGTTCCAAACCTCTTCCATTTACAGATGATGGAAGCCACTGTGCTCATTGGGACCTTCAATGCTGCAGAAAATTTTCTGTACCCATCCCCAGATCTGTGCCTTGATACAATCCTGTCTCAGAGATCTACAGACAATTCCTTAGACTTCATGGCTTGGTTTGTGCTCTGACATGCACTGTTAACTGTGGGACCTTATATAGACAGGTGTATGCCTTTTCAAATCATGTCCAATCAACTGCATTTCCCACAGGTGGACTCCAGTCAAGTTGTAGAAACATCAAGGATGATCAGTGGAAACAGGATGCACCAGAGCTCAATTTTGAGTGTCATGGCAAAGGCTGTGAATACTTATGTACATGTGATTTTTTTTCATTTTTAATAAAATTGCAAAGATTTCAAACAAACTTTTTTCATATTGTCATTATGGAGTATTGTTTGTAGAATTTTGAGGACAATAATGAATTGAATCCATTTTGGTATAAGGCTCTAACATAACAAAATGTGGAAAAAGTTAAGCGCTGAGCACCGTGAATACTTTCTGGATGCACTGTAATTGATTTTTACAATGGAACAGCAAATCCTTTTTAAATAGGAGTATTTTTCCTTCCTTTTAAAGCATATACAAAGATTACCACCTTAAATTTTAATGTTTACAAAACTAAGCTGTATTTAGTTTAGTAAAAGGAATAACTGCTTGCTATTACAGCTTGTCAACATTTTCAAAATTTTAAATGTAATTTTACTTACTTATGTACTACTGCTACTGTCTACTAATGTAATAGTAGATCACCTTGGCAGCAAATTAACAAAACATAAGCACATTGGTTTTACAGAACTGGCTTTATTTCAAAACTGACTACACACAGCAAGTAGTGCATATAAAAACATTAAATATTCACTTGGTATTCATAAATATGTTACACAAAAAGGCTTTGTTCAATCTTCAGATGCTTTACATCACATGCTGACACACAACCAAAGCTTTTCTCACAAATTTCTATCAAAAACAGAACTTTAACAGCCAAGACATTATATTGCCAACAAACACTGGCAGCAGCTACTATCATCCTTTCAAGAGGGAGAAGAGCCTTCATTTGGCCTTATTATGCCACACAGCTACATCTACATGGGCATACAGATGTTAACAATGCGGAATTTCAATGATGACTTTGTAGCAGATGTCCGACCATTCGGTGTCATCACACTAATCAACCAGCCTGACCAGGTGTAACACAAGGATTCTACCAGGGGCCCCACAGTTTTGTCCCAGGAGGAGAAAAATTATTGATAGCAATGAAGTCACACAAAACATGCCACTATGTCAAACATATAAAAGAAAATGAAGACCACGTGAAAAACCAACTTCTGAGTTGTAGAGATGCACCGATCGAGAAGATGAGGATTGGAACTGGCCATTTAAGCTTGAACAGCCATGACCGGTGATTGGCCGATCACTCTGAGATATCCGATTCTATGCCAATCATATTTACACAAGATAGTCCACATTGTGCACACAGTGGCACAGACCAAAAGTGTAGCATATGCAGCACGTAGCATCCTCCATGCACCTTGTGCTTGCCTATACCAGGCTGGTGTTCAGTTGCATGTTAGAAGCTCTCAGAGGAGCCTACAGCAGCACCTTGAAAAAAGGAAAACTATGCTCCCAACTCTCTGACAAATGTACATAAAGAATTACCGTCTACACCTGAAATGCACATACAGTGCCTTGCGAAAGTATTCGGCCCCCTTGAACTTTGCGACCTTTTGCCACATTTCAGGCTTCAAACATAAAGATATAAAACTGTAATTTTTTGTGAAGAATCAACAACAAGTGGGACACAATCATGAAGTGGAACGAAATTTATTGGATATTTCAAACGTTTTTAACAAATAAAAAAATAGTCTCAGAGGTCTGTTTAAAGCGCAGAGAGCATCATGAAGAACAAGGAACACACCAGGCAGGTCCGAGATACTGTTGTGGAGAAGTTTAAAGCCGGATTTGGATACAAAAAGATTTCCCAAGCTTTAAACATCCCAAGGAGCACTGTGCAAGCGATAATATTGAAATGGAAGGAGTATCAGACCACTGCAAATCTACCAAGACCTGGCCGTCCCTCTAAACTTTCAGCTCATACAAGGAGAAGACTGATCAGAGATGCAGCCAAGAGGCCCATGATCACTCTGGATGAACTGCAGAGATCTACAGCTGAGGTGGGAGACTCTGTCCATAGGACAACAATCAGTCGTATACTGCACAAATCTGGCCTTTATGGAAGAGTGGCAAGAAGAAAGCCATTTCTTAAAGATATCCATAAAAAGTGTCGTTTAAAGTTTGCCACAAGCCACCTGGGAGACACACCAAACATGTGGAAGAAGGTGCTCTGGTCAGATGAAACCAAAATCGAACTTTTTGGCAACAATGCAAAACGTTATGTTTGGCGTAAAAGCAGCACAGCTCATCACCCTGAACACACCATCCCCATTGTCAAACATGGTGGTGGCAGCATCATGTTTTGGGCCTGCTTTTCTTCAGCAGGGACAGGGAAGATGGTTAAACTTGATGGGAAGATGGATGGAGCCAAATACAGGACCATTCTGGAAGGAAACCTGATGGAGTCTGCAAAAGACCTGAGACTGGGGCGGAGATTTGTCTTCCAACAAGACAATGATCCAAAACATAAAGCAAAATCTACAATGGAATGGTTCACAAATAAACATATCCAGGTGTTAGAATGGCCAAGTCAAAGTCCAGACCTGAATCCAATCGAGAATCTGTGGAAAGAACTGAAAACTGCTGTTCACAAATGCTCTCCATCCAACCTCACTGAGCTCGAGCTGTTTTGCAAGGAGGCATGGGCAAAAATTTCAGTCTCTCGATGTGCAAAACTGATAGAGACATACCCCAAGCGATTTACAGCTGTAATCGCAGCAAAAGGTGGCGCTACAACGTATTAACTTAAGGGGGTTGAATAATTTTGCACGCCCAATTTTTCAGTTTTTTATTTGTTAAAAAAGTTTGAAATATCCAATAAATTTCGTTCCACTTCATGATTGTGTCCCACTTGTTGTTGATTCTTCACAAAAAATTACAGTTTTATATCTTTATGTTTGAAGCCTGAAATGTGGCAAAAAGTCGCAAAGTTCAAGGGGGCCGAATACTTTCGCAAGGCACTATACATGTACTGTGTATCTAACCAATGGTAAAACACCAAATAAAAACTATACACACTTTAAAATGAACAGGCTGTTCAGTGGGATTGACATTCTTCTGTGTTCCATTATTCTACGTGCTGCACCAGCATACAGTTAGAAAACTACAAATATCACAATTCATTTTTTATTGGAGGTTTGTAAAAGGAAAATAAAGTTTGTCCTGTACTTTGGAGGACTTTTTTTATGCTGAGATTTGCTTGAGTGAGAGAAAGATGGTAAATGTAAAACATATTTAGTCACCAATCAACGTAAGCTGCATGTCTTAGGACTGTGGGGAGTACTTGGAGGGAACCCACACAGACACAGGGAGCACATGTAAACTCCACCAGGTTGCAACAGCACTAACCACTGCGCCACCATGTTACCTGAGCACATCTGCATCTGGATTGATTAAATCTTTATTTAATAAAAAATAACAGCAACTCACCAACACAAATAGAGCAATACAAAGGAAATATACAATACAAAGTAAATATACAAGTGTCAAATCACTGCTCAAACTCCAGTGAGGCGTTTGTTACTTGTTGGCATTCAGCCATTCATGTGAAGCAAGATGTACTGGCTGCAGACAATTAAAACACATATAATGTGTACAGTACATTGCAATTTTTTTTTCAGTTTTTAATGTCCATTGATTTTAAAATAAAACTCTTGTTCTTGTGTATCCATCCATGGCTACATACCAATGAGAACAGACAGAATGAGTGAAGAACAGAAATTATGCCCTGAAAGTCAAAATTTCCTTTGAAGACTAAATTACTTAGGTGAAACTACCATCTTATTGGAATAATACAATAGAATCTTGTTCTCCAAAGCATTGATTAAATGAATAGAGCCTCTGACCAATGCAGCAGCTGGAATAAACACAAGGTAAAGCTGCTGCTGCTGAAAGAACACAAACACACAAATAAATAAACATTCCCTGCTGCATGTAAAATAATAATAGAGTGGAAACCAGCCACCAGATCCTCACAGTTTGTGCATTGCTAGTTTTGCTAAATGTGTTGGTGTTCAGTGTTACAGACTACCAGTGCTTGGGGCCAGTGACGTTACCAGCCTAACTACTGTTTCTGACCAATCAGCGTTCTAGGACTCCGAGTCCAGGACTTAAACTAGAGGCTGACTTGAGTCCAAATATCAAAGTGGGAGACAACAAATGCTGTGCTCTTAGAAGAGCCACTCCTGATCTTACATTCAACTGAACAAACCAGATGCGCTGTCCTGTAACAGCTAGCCTTGCTAAGTACAAGGTCAAAGCATTAGGCGTACTGCAGTTCCATACTACTGTACTTACTGAGTCCATTTGTCTTTACAGAGTCTGTATATTTTTCCAGGAATAAGAAACTGGAAAATATGTTGAATTCTTACATACAAATGGTAAAAAAAAGCATACTACAAAAATGTTTATATAGAATGTATTGTACACAAGTAGTACGCAGTATGGATGGGGACAAAGTAGCTGTAAGGCAGGAATTTCTCCCTTAATTCTTGCTACTCTTCTTGTCAGGACAACAGGAGCACCTAGATGTCCATTTAAATGTGCAATCTGTGGAAGCAGGGTCCCACATCCCAGCCTTCTCAGATCACCACTGAGGTTCCAAATCTGGACTCGAGAACAAGTGATCTATTTGATTTGAGGTAAACATTTGGCACTGATGATTTTGTACCTGCAGGACAGCTGTCCTATTTTACTCTGCACTAGTTACCACAACCAGAAGTGAACTGTTCATGAGACAGTCTGCAGAAAAGCAAAAGTCCACTTCCTTGCTCACGCACAGGTACACTGCTGTGTCAAAAATGAAAGCCATATATAGTGCATGCCTTGTTAGAATTTCCATAGCAGAACCAGCAATGAAAAATGATGAAGAGGGCAGGAAGAAACAGGTGTACAGAGCCATGATCTGACCTAACAGAAAGAAGCAAAGTTGTTTGGGACAGGCATCATAAGAACAGAAGTATAGGGTAAAGCAGGTCAAACCAAACCCTTTGTTCTCATCAACACTCAGGACCTCCACTCCAGGAGCCAGGCGAGCTGGGAGAGGCTCAGAGGAGCATTTGGGCAAAGTGACATCTCCTGCTTCAGACCAGCCCAGCGTCCTTGGCCATTATGTAAAAGGCTCCTTTCTGAGCGATGAGATTAGAAGGTGAGTCAAACTCTGCCATCTCTCCTTTGTCCAACACCAGGACCCTGAAGGAGACAAAATACTGATCACATTCTTTCTGTACAAGTAGCACAAAGAAGTACCAGTACTACCTGTGCTGCTGCTTCCTCTAGTTCTACATTAAGTACCACTACATCTGTTAGTACTAAAGCCTCAAATCTGCTCCAAGCACCCATGTATGGACAGTGGACATTCTTGCCTGCATATTGGTATGCACTTTATCACACCATAAGGACAAACTAATGTTTTAGAATCGATTCATCATCTTTACATTGCAACCAAGTAAACAAAAAACTATTGGTCTTGAGATGATGAGATGACCATGCCATGATACTGAGGAAGAATACACACCATAGTCACAGCAGATATACCTTGTTATATTGTTGCTATTAATCAGTCCCTCCAGGATTTTGCAAAGTTGTGATCATAGTAATTAATGGAAATTTAGCCAATCCCAATGACTTCTGTATGGTCATGCAATTTTGTCCAATAACCCCAACTTTACTACAAATTTGACCAGTCATTGTAGTTTCTCGCAAGTTTCACCCATTATAGTCCCCTGTGCTAAATATGCTGAGTGATACATGAAACTCACTTTCTTGTTGCAGGTTTTGAAGATGCAGATATGTGACACAAACGTCTCATTTACCAACAATAATTAGGCTACTACTGACTGTGGCACTGTGCAATGATGTTCTGCAAAGTTGTGGTGGTGGAACACAATGAAAGGCATCCCTGACAAACACTTTTCTACCACAAAACACATCTGGAAAATGGCTGAAAAGGAGCAACATCAGACAAGACAAATCACTGTGACAGAGGCTGTTGCGTCCAAATCTATTTCAAGTGCTGAAAGAATCAAGATGAGTTCAAATAAATAAGCATGGTTAGTGGTAGCGTAGTGTAGTAAATTACAGCCTACATCACAAAGCGATGCCCTGGTCAAGCGGAATATAGTGTCTGTTTGTGTGTCAAACTGTGTGCGTGCATGCATGTATATGTGATAAAGACAAATCAAGTCTCAAAATGTCTAAACATTTATTCTAAATATTAA